TAGATATAGCCTTCTGAAATTGTTTGCGATAACCTACGTGCTCCTTTCGTTATATAACCCTACTATCACACCAAACTAGTTCTCACTACGTTCTCGAAAACGGGCTTCAACTGTGTACGAACGGACTGGACGTACTAAGAACCGTTTGGGATCTATTTACAAACGTCATCGAACGTACTCGAACGGGTAGGTCCTCTAGAACTTAGACAATGCTCAAAATGTTTTCGTGGTCGTCACGTTCTACAATTAGAACGAGTGACAACGTACTAACGACGAGCTAGACGTACTACGAACGGAACCGTCGTACTTCAATCTTACTAGGGACGTTTTAACAACGAGTGGAACTGTCTGAGGACGTGTTGAGAACGAGGTAGAACTCATTGCAAACGGGTTTAAACTGATTAAGAACGTATTTAACACTGCTTATGAACGAGTTAGCAAAAATATAGCTATCACACCAAACAAGTTGCCACTGCGTTCTTCAAAACTGGTTCTAAACTGTGTGCGAACGGAATGAACGTAGCTGCAACTTTCTAAGGTCTATTTACGAACTTTATGAACGTTCTCAGACGGGAATGTGATTTTAGAATTTTGAATCGATTCAAAATTCGATTCCGACCATACCGTTCTGTTATCAGGTCATGGTGACCTTCTAGACTAAGGGACGCGTTCTACGGTGGTGCGACCTGAACGAACTGCGTGTGAGATGGACGTATTGAAGACTGTTTAAGAAAGAAGAAGCTAATTATTTCAGACATATTTCCCGACCACAGCCAGTTTGAGCCCGTTTTACGACGTTTTCGTAGGACTGGCAAGAACGGGTAAGAACGAGTTTGGTGTGATAGGGGGGTTAGGTTCTTGGATGTATATACATTATCAAAATCATTTCACTGTTAGTTACTAAGAATACATGAACACCTGAATAATGTATTACCTGTGGGATGGGATCCAATAGGACTCTCTTCAGAGAGAGGGTTATCATGCAAGAGAAATTTGATTAACACAAACCATTTAATAAGAACCTATTTGGTTCCAAAATGTTGTGTGCTGTCGAGTGTGCAATAGACTCAAAAACTAAGTTCTTAAACTATGGATCACTGACAGAAAAATAAGACATATACTCTAAATAAAGATGAAATTGGCCATTACACGGGTCAGTAACAAATAAGTACTTATTTTGGGAAATTAAGCCTTGATGTACTTCACTTTAACCAAAGGATCACGGAAGGTATCGCAACAGATTCCAGACAGCCATATGTTGGATTTTGGCTATTTTCTATTGATTTGAACAGGTGCATACAGTATGTAAGGCCAATGCATTAATTCCAGGACAAGCACTCATAGAGATGATAATAAGTTTGGACTTTGAGACAGTATTTTTTAAGATATCAAATATCGATTATGAGTGACCAAAAGATGGGCAATATGTTCTCCACTTTATCCCAAAATGAATCATATATTTTCCTTGTACTAACTGTTTCTCAAAAACGCAACATATTGATGCATTAAACATTGAAAAACAGGTGCGGAAAGGGCCGAAAATCAGGACAACTTCAGAAAAATGTGTTGGTGGGGTGTTTGCACCTTCCCTAGTCTCAAAGTCCAAATATTATTTTATCACCTCTATGAGTACTTGTCCTGGAGTTAATGCAATAGCCTAAAATATGCACCCATAAAAATCCTCAGAAATCAACCGAAATCAAACATATGACTGTCTGAAATCTGTTACGATACATTCCGTGGTCCTTTAAACCAATCAAATTAGAATACAGATAAATTGAAAAAGCGTATTGTATTGATCCTGCTTGTGCATAAAGCTATTGTCGATGTACAGGCTGATGTAGTGGAAACTCGATCATTGACGCGTTCAGCATAAGACAATGTCGTAATTCATGGATTCACTTTTGGGAATTCCCTTCTGATATATGGATTGCAAATTCTAGAACGTTCAAGTTTGACATGAATGATTTATTATTTGTAATGCCATTCGTCCTTGGGCGTCTCACTTCGCTTCGTGTTTTACATTCTTGTAAATGATTCTGCAAATGGTTAAATCGGTGTGAAAAATGATAGTAGGCTTTAAGGTAAGAATGGAATAATCATGGATATCTGTTTTATCCCCCATACTTGGACGTGTTACAGGTACATAAAGCCGGTTTGTAAAAACTTATATTTTCATCAGCGGGCAGATATAGCTTTACGTCCCGCTCCGAGCGGGCAGATATAGTATACATGTAATACGTGTAATGACTGTAAACGACAATGGAGAAAACACAGACAATCGGGATCTGTTGGATGGTTTAAAAAGGGAAGGAGCATCCAATTAATCAATCAAAATATTTGAGAAAATAAATGTGGGAATATTTGATAGAACAGGAAAATCCGCCCACGGCCAATTGCAAGAAAACAAAACTGGACATGAATATTCTAAAATATTTCCACGATTGAACAATGTGAACCAGATGACCAAGATTGGTATGGGATAACATATTATCCTATAGTCGGTTCAGGATATTGGGATTATCCCTTGGCCAATATAATATATTTTCCCCTGGGACCTGCGGCCCTCGGGCAAATATATTATATTAGCCTCGGGATAATCCCAATATCCTGAACCTCATATAGGATAATCTCTAAGTATTCCATGCAGGGATACGTATTTGCATTTGTATTTACTCAGAAATATAATAGTTTTATGTCATCAAAACACCGATAGACCATCTTGTTATCAGAATACATGTAGGTGTTGATCACTGTAGATGTAAGACAAACTAGAAAACTGAAAACTATGTTTTGGAGTTGACTTTCCTATTCTATTTCCTGAAGTTAGACCGTTAGTCATTTAGAGGTCCGTAATTTATTTTAGAAATTAGATTTTTACCTTTGACCTCACCGGGACTCCAATAAGCTTCATCCCCTTGTTTGGCATATGAAGATGAGACATAACTCGGAATCTTATAATTATGTGGTATAATCAGGAATGAATACACGTCAAAGGGAGTCATTATATCACCACTAGAAGTGGTGACATCTGGTACATGTACATGTAGTCTTAGTGTTATAGTCAACTTATTTGTGGACGGTGGTTGCTATTCGATGGTTAGTTAGGCGGCGTCTGTCGTATTCTGCAGGTGGTGACATATTTTGCTTCTAACTATACTACTTTTGAAATAACGCACATATGGGCGTTATATCTGAAGGCCATCGTCCCTTAATGGTCCTGCATATGTCACTGGTGATCCACTCGATTACACTGGTTACCGAAAGGGTTCGTTTTGGTTACAAAATGTCGGAACGTCGAAGGTACGATTTTTCTTTTTTCCTTATTTCACGCGCTGTAGGCAGAATCCCCACGACGTTTTTTCTCACAAACGTGTATCAGTATCATATATTTTAGAAAATGTTCATGTTTGCGAAAAAATAGCTCAGAAGACAACAGAATCGTCGATTTAATTCCTTACTTAAGTTACACAAACGGTTTTGGTTAAAAGTGCAGATCTTAACTGTTTTTCGAAAAACGTGTGAAATAAGGAAAAGAGAAAAATCGTACCTTCGACGTTCCGACATTTTGTTACCAAAACGAACCGTTTCGGTAACCAGCGTAATCGAGTGGATCACCAGTGATATGTCGAGTATATATATTGATTATTTATGCTTAACGACATACTGAAAAAATACTGAATATGACCGATGGTTTCATTCTGGCAATTGAGGTCTTAATAACGATTTCAATATGATCAAGTATATCAACGTTTACATTAACTTGTCTGTAATGAAAATAAGTAAATGTTTTTGGTCATTTTGAAAGCACAATCGTGTCAGAATATAAAGTACATTGATAAACAAAACACAACAAATCTTCTACAGACGCCATTTTGAAAATTTTATAGAACTTGATCTGGATACTCAAAATTCGAGGACCACGTTCGTGTACATCTAAACAGAATATGAAGCTTAACGAAAATGATGAGAAGTTAATGCAAATGTAAAATATCAAAACTGTATCCATACCACGTGTATAACGTGTGTGGTCACGCTGATAATTGCACTAGCGGAGCCAGGGGGCGCCCCTCTCCCCTTTGGTGGTCCCAGAAAAATTCTTTAAGGCTCAAAAAAATTAGTAGGGCCTCAAAAATGGGCCTTTTCTACTTAATTCTGTTATGGGTGAATAAAGGAAGGGTATCGTTATGGTGAACTTTTTCATCAAAAAGTTCTGAAAATTTTACACATCGTCAATTTAATGGTCATCTTTTGAATGGTAACAATATAGTTTGAAATAAATATATAAACTTTTCTCTATATTGTTTGTTTTAGAAAACACACCAGATACTTCTTTTTGTTCTTGGTATCATATGTTGAAATGAAACATCTATCCGAACCTCATTGGAACAAAATGACATAAACACAACGTATTTAGGTCTCTGAATATTGTAATTGCTCAAGGGAAAGTTTGGTTGATTTAAAAAAGGTACATTGTTAACGAAAGTAAATGTTTATCTTAATTTTTATCTGTTTTTGGGGTTTTGTTTTAATTTTTTGAATACTTTTTGTTAAATCAACCAAAATTTCCTTTTAACTATATTGAGAAGTCTAAGAAAATATTGTATATGTTATTTTGGTCCAACACGCTTCGGAAAGATGTTTTATTTCATTCTCAAGAATTGGTAAAAAGGAACAAAAAACAATTGCACTAAAAACAAAAAATGTGAACAAAAACAGTTATATAACATATATAAAAATAATTTTCGCATTGAATTGTTGTCAATCAGTCACAATTACATAAAAAACCGTGTTTTTACAGAATGTTTTCAATAATTGATTTAAGAGAAAAACATTGTTGAATTCAGTTCACCATGTCGATACCAATCCTTTAAAAAGTCTTGCTGAAAGTTTCTTTCAATGGTTATAAGGTTACTTATTCGACGGAACATATACCAATCTCATATAAAAATTTGTAAAACAAATCTTATCTTGTCTTGTACTTATATTGATTTTGTTAGGAGGTGCTAGCTCTGGCAAGAGTACGTTCATCAAACAGTTACGCATCCACCATGGAGATGGCTTCCCCAGTAGGGAGAGGGCCACCTTGAGGCCTCATGTACACGAGAACATCGTCGAAGGAATCCATACAGTCACAGAACACTTGCCACAATTCAATATCACACTACAATCACCATCCACACAGGTAAGATTACACGCTATTTTTCACGTCGGTGTGTTGCCCATTTGATCACAGATTTGTTTTGAACCAAGTGAGATGTATTAATTATAATGTACTGTTATTTATCGTATGGTCTGTAAAATGAAGCCCTCTGAGTCGAGTGCCAATACAGAATATCGAGAGCAGAATTATCCTGTATTGCACTTCAAATCATTCTATAGCTATAACGTTTCTATCGTGTGATCTGTATTGCTACTGAGAATATCCCCGCCGTACCAATATTTTCTGTATTGCGACGGAGATGATCAATGGGGACAATCTCAGTAGCAATACAGATTGGTACAGCACAAGAACTGACCATTAAGAAGGCTTCATTTTACAGATCATACGATTCATCACTTGTCCCACATTTTGACCCACAGAGGTGTAACTCGCCAGAAAAATCCAACTCAAGTTCAACTTGCCAAATATTTCCAAAACAATTCAATTCGTCCAGTACATATTGTAAACCCGGGTACACAAATTTATTGTAACTTCTAGCGGCAAGTTTCTCTGGTTTAGTCACATCTTAAAGCTGTTTAACACATGGGGGCCATAAGAAAGTGTGGTATTCATTGCAGTTATCTCATATTTCAATCAAAAACGATCTGGTATAGACGTCGCCGCATACGGTAAGGACTAGAGATCGCTAAAATGAACAAGAATCTAACCAAACAATATTTTAGAAAACCCAGAAGGGCCCCTCAAATCAATCAATGGTTTTCCCTGATTATCTTCATTATTTCTACTAAAGTCCACTGGATATCGATCTAAAGTTATGACTTAATTTAATGATACATGTAGATCATATTTTTCAAGTAAAAGTTGTGTAAACGTCGTGAGAATAAGGGGACCATTTTTTATTCAATTCCAGTGACTACTCTATTATCGCCCGCTTGAGTTCCTCCGATAGTCAATCTTTTTCTGATCTTTTTGGTGTAACTTGTCATTCCTCGATGTTTGTTGAACTTAGTGAAGCTTTGAGAGTGTTTTTTAGGTGACGGACGCTAAATACGGCGATCATTGGTATATTTATTCTCCTAATGAAGTAATGTTGCACGATCTCTGGGACCCGAATTCATTTTACATGCTTGCAAGATAGGCAAAACTCGCGAGTTGACTCGAGTTATAGCCAGTTCGCGAGTTTCTAGAGGACAACCCGAGGCCATGTATAGGCAGCTCTGACGAGCTGTATTCGAGTTACGGACTCGGGGGTTACCTCTACCAAGTACACACCGGAATACCCTGACAACGGTTAACAGTCAGGTTCAGTAACTAAGTCAACATTTAAAATTCGTATGTGTATCAGTATTTACTGACAACTGAAGTAAACCTCTGTCTAAGTGCTATTTTAAACATGCAGTTAATAAAAATCGAATCGAATACGAACCCGTGGCCGCCATTTGTGACAACGGTATCTGACTTTACCGTTGTCAGGGTATTCCAGTTTGAAGTAGAGATGATCATTTTAATCAATTATGAGTAGTATGGTCAGTTTGGCGCCTGTATATCAATGCTCTTTTGACTTCATTTTGATTTTTTCCTCAAGGTAGTTATGCTCACAGATCACCATTTCCTACATTGTATTTGCTTTTTTCAAAATGTCACGTTGGAACATTAATGTTATAGTTTAGCATGAGCTAATGAAAGTAATTGAGGGTCCTATACTGCAATAAGTAGCGACATTTCAGCCTCGTTACGACATGATGGATGAGCTAACAACATGGGGAGGATTAGAGCGTTGATAGAACTTGTAAAACTGCGCATGTGTGAGATCAGAAACATGAAATCAGTGCTGCACCTGATTAACTGTTCAATTGAGTGATATAAAGTTCATAAATCAGGTGCTGATTTCGCTCAATTTATTTGCTATATATATTGATAAATAGATGTCAGCACGTGTGTTACGTATTATTGGTAGGGCCAAAATACATGGAGAACAGAGATGTATGACAAAGGTCATTCAATTTCTTGATCTGATATTGATCAGGTATTTTCATTTGAATTAACGTAAAACACCATTGGAATGTAACTATACGACCTAGGGATAGTGATATTTAAAAGAGTAAATGAACTTTTAAGTTTTTTATTAAATGTAATGTCAATGGGGATTTAGCCCGACCTTTTTCAGAAAATATTGGTCCTTAGAGTGTAGCTACTGTATATATAGGTTGAAGATTATATTGTAATTCCCATTCATGGCCATCATGACATTTTACCCTATATCTTATTTAAGAAATATAGACCGAAGAGCAGGGCTACTAGTTCGAATACACCCCGCAGGTCTCGGCACAAACGTTTTCTGTACCCCGAACGACCGAAAGGAGTGAGGGTTTCGAAAGCTTTTGTGTCGAGACCTAAGGGGTGTATTCGAAACTAGTAGCCCTGCTCTGAACTTTGTTACCTTATCATGTATCTCAATGGAACAAAAAGTAAGGAGAGTTCTTACTTAAATATCAACCTTAAATGATAAAAAATGCAGATTCTCTAAACTATCATTGAAACGGGATTTCAAAGAGATTTTAGAGCTCTTTAGCAAATCCCATATTATGGATTCAATTTGACAGCATTCAATTGTAATTCCCTGTTGATGTCTCTTCTTAAATTAAATACGCGTAGTTTCCGGGTGATGATCAAGGAACCCTGCAAACTGCCAAAGTATCTTATTTATCCTCTGGGGATTTCTTCCCCTTTCTGTACTACCTTACCGGTTCTGATAAAGTGTACACTAAACTCTAAACCAAGGGTCTGTGTAGCCTACACGGTTCGTTACGAGAATCACACGGATGAATCCATCTAGAATTGGACTTATAGAAAGTAACCCTATAATACAAAAAAACACCAAGTGCAATAAAACATAATGGAAGTATGTTGTAAATTGCTCCATTATTTTAATGTACACTCTGCGTTGTGTCGAAAATACAAGTAAAGAACAGCAACTCAACGCAGTAGCAAATCCCACCGAACATAACATATTTTAAAGAATAACTTGTCATCTTGAACAGTACATGATAGAAATAACCATACATGTAGTTGTAGTATTGTCTCCCTTTGGCAAAATCTATATCCATGTACATCATCAGTATGTAATAATTGAACCAAATCTGTCAACTGATATTTCAGTTATCAATGAATAGGTTTAAGGTAGTCATCCAGGCAGGCGTTTTTACGACCATTTTGGCGGCCATTTTGAAATTCAGTTGCAAACTTGAAGATTTCTTCTTTAGCAGATCTTCCAATGTTCCTAGGCATCAGCAATTAAATCGTATTTGAGTTATCAAAGATTACATTTTTAAGAAAACATGCTGGCCATTTTGAAGTGAGCGGCCATATTGAAAATTACTTCTCGACCACACCGTGGACCAAGTCCTACTCACACGGCATGAGGCTATTAATTTCCATCAACCGGTATTTGGGTCATCGTCCGGGCACACGAACGAACAAATGAACGGACGAACAAACTGACAGACGGACGGCTTCTCTGTATCCCAAAGAATTTGGAATGGTTCTGCTGTAATAAAACAGCTACGATCTGTTTTTTGTTTGTCTGACTTTTCGCACTTACACTCAGGTCCGTTGAAACTAGTGTGAGGGCAGATTTGAGAGGTAATGCAAGACTACTTACCTACATTTAGTGAACACTGAACATGAACGATAATCTATTTCAGAACTACCTAATTGAGTTTAAAAAGAAACTGCCTCGAATCAACCATTTCCACCACCCTGTCCACGAAAACGGCTCGGACGGCTCGCCCATCTTAGAGCGACCAGCTTCCCCCGTCAGTCCAATGGTTCCACGTGTTAAAGAGATGCCTAACAGTATGATAGAAATTATTCGAGACTCTGGGTTCCAGAAATGTCTTGCTGAACATAAAACGTTTGAAAGGCAGCTCACAGTTGCAGAAAAACAGTAAGGAGTGTTTTAATTTTTTCTATGAAGGTAGTATAGCAATCAGTAGATCGATGACAATGATGAATCCATTCCTCTTCAAGCGTCATTTTTAAAGTGTTATTGTACAATAGTTTAAGTAAATCTTGAAAACATTCTGCAAATAAATATAATCATAAAGTACACGTTCTGTATTTTCCTACCATTATTCAACGATTTTCCGTTTGAAGAAAAATAAAATCCAGTATAAAACATTCGAAAATTAAATTAGCTGGATGATTACGTCAGTAATCTTGAAAAGTTCCATATTAATGATCTTTGAGCGATATGCATCAGTCGTTCACAATATGCTATAATTTGTATTTCATTTTAGTTTCCTAGACAATATTGAGAGAGTTGTGAGTAAAGGCTACATTCCGACTCTACAGGACATACTCTACATAAGGAAACCAACAACTGGTGTACAAGAACACACTTTTCACGTTAATGGACTCAACTATAGGTAAGTTTCTACCGTTAAGGTAGGCCGAATAGAATGAGAATTGCTACGATGCCATCTCACTGGGTCGCCTTTACAATTATTGTTCTTTCTATGAACCAATTTGTTCCAGTACTTAAATATGATTATTGATTAACTATCGCCTAAAACGTAGACAATTGATAATTTTTCTTCGTGCATTGAACCAAAACGTTTTGGGAAGATATTATATTAGAGCTAACCAAAATACTCCATAAGGACATAGTTGAGCTTTAATGTCCTGTTTAAGAACCCTTATACCACCTTGCCGGACCAGTTCTAGGGGTTTTAGTGCTTGTTTAGAAGGCATTCATTTTACTATATCGACCTGAGCAATATGTGACGTCATAGTGGCGGTCAATATTGCAATAATGCAATTTTCCCCGGGAAATTAGATATCGTTCAGTGCGTAAGATTTTCTTGCTGTTTCAGTCCTGGTCATTAACGGTAATAACACCTTCGGCCCTCGGTCCAATATTTCACTATATTGCCCGCAGAAATAACGTTATTGTTCTATAAGTCTTACTATTGAAAATGGATTTTACCAATGCTCTCTCATGCAGATGAATTCTGTTTGTTGAGACTCAATCAACTTGAGTTCTTCTGAGAAGATGAGGATGTTGTATCTCTCCACATGCATGGTGGCATGATGGAATGCAGCTTTTAGTTAAATTTTTGTTAAATCCTCATTATTTCAGAATAACTCAAGTTGATCGACTGTCAAATAGTAGATTTTTGGGATGGTATTGAAAGGATCCATTCTCAATAACTCACATGCGAGTAGGTAGTTACCAGTTTCACCACCCGGTGGCTCGTTTGGGTCAGATAGCATTGCGGGTAAAGTAAAAAGTTCCCATTAACTTAAATATTCATCTGTTTTAGTGGTTCAATTTCCATATTAAGGGAACCTGGGGCAAAGCGGCCCTAAAAAATTTAATTTTGAGTTGTTCCGTACGGGGAATTTTCTTATCTTTCAATCATCACGCACTTTGATGTTCCACGTTGTTGCAAATTATGCTTGCTTTTCAGAACTCTTTGTTGACTCTTTATTAGTTATTTCTACATTTCAGGGTCATAGATGTCGCTGGCCAACGGAGCCAGAGGAAAAAGTGGATACATTTCTTTGACGGAGTGACAGCCGTCATTTTCTTTGCTTCTTTAAGTGGCTTCAATGAGGCCTTAGAGGAAGAGCACAGTATTGTGAGTATAAATATCCATATACGGCTAGTAATTGTTTCTTTAGAAGAAATTTTGGAAGAACTTAGTAGACGACAAGTATTTTATTTTACAGCCCGAATATTGCAAATGACGAGTCCAAATTGAATGAAAAATGGAAATGTTGATAGTGGAGACCTGGGTTTTTTATAAGTAATAGGTAGACACTTTGAAACAGACAGACATATACAGGGTGATCATTAAGTTCTGGGAATTGGTCTGCCATTTCAAGATTTCTCAACCAATTTTCACCAGGTGTACATTGTATAATTCTGAATTGACAAGCAATGTTTCATATACATATCACATCTACAATTTATTTTATTGTAATTACAAAAAAAGTAAAAGTGGTCCGCGGGTCAGCAAATTTTGACTGATGTTAATTTGAAAATTTCCTGCCAAAACATATTCATCTTGCCTAGATAGTTGCTTCAAACTACTTGTACTAGAGGCAGAACAGTACTCTTGAAGTCATTTATTCAGAAGTATTCTTCATTGCTGAGAGGACCATTTCATTTATGATTGTTTCCATTAGCCTGGACGCATATGCGTTGTTGACAAACTTAGTCCATAAAGATGTGTTCCAGTCCTCCCTTTGGCATCCCTTGAAGAGCTTGAGTAATGGGAAGGAGCATAGTCATAATGACAGATAACTCCCCGCTATTTTTGGTCATGATTGTTACTTTGAGATGCTGATGAATGATACAAAAATAGAGCAAAGTACACTCTTATATAACAATAAAGATGTTACTTTAGAAACTTAAGTTAGAAGTATTTGAAAATATAAAAAATCACAGACGGAAATATGTCCACCAAATAGGTATTTATTAACCATACTTTTGGATCAAGCAAAATTTGAATTCATTTTTATTTTACTTGACCCGCTACGCCATTTATCATGTTGCTATAGTAACAATAATTATCCATTGTGACATCAGATGACAATGAGACGGTTTTATCCAACCCAAAATTACATTCCCCATTTACCTTGAAAATTTCAAGTGAATTGGTTGAAAAATAATGAAATGACAGATAAATTCCCAGAACTTAGTGATCACCCTGTACATTTGTTATTCAACATATTTTGGTAGTGAACAGGAAGTGACAAAACAGGGAGTAAAAACATGCTGGATTTTTGAAATGTTTTGCAAGCTAAGATAACTGAATCGGTTCTTTTTTAATCTTCAGTCAGTTTTACTAGTTCCAAATATCATTTCCACGACATGGATGGATTTACAAAATACACTGTGTCAAATATCCCAGGCTGTCCATACAGGCAGAGAAAGCAGCCAATCACATGAGTCAAGCCCAGAGAAGAATTGAGTGATCAATACTTTTGCCAGATGCATTCAAGTCAAGATTTCTTGGGTTCTGTTTTTTGGGGTCAACCTGTAGTACCCCATGCCATATCTGCGACATAGTGCGTTATCCGGGTGGAATATTTATCAATCTATGGCACTGTTGGCGATTGGTTACTTTTTACGTTTTTCTTTATATTAGGTGAACTGAGATAAGATTAGTGGCTCATGTCATGTCATGTCTACGATTTTTTTGTAACCCTGTACAAGTAGTCTATCATCTATGTCACTGGTGATCCGCTCAATTACACCGGTTACCGAAACAGTTCGTTTCGGTACCAAATGTCGGAACGTCGAATGTACGATTTTTTTCCTTATTTCACGAGTTGTAGGCAGAATTCCCCTAACATTTATATCACAAGGTGTATCAGTATTATATGTTTAAGAAAATGTACATGTTTGCGAAAAAATAGTTCAGAAGACAATTAAATGGAATCGTCGATTTTATTCCCCTCTTAAGTTATGTAAACGAAACTTCAAAAACACTTAAGATCAGCACTTTTAACACGTTCCGCTTACGTAACTTAGTGAGGTATAAAATCGACGATTGTGTTGTCTTCTGAGCTATTTGTTCGCAAACGTGTACATTTTCTAATAGATATGAGACTGATACACGTTTGTGAAAAAATGTCGTGGGAATTCTGCCTACAACGCGTGAAATAAGGAAAAAGAAAAATCGTACCTTCGACGTTCCGATATTTTGTTACCGAAACGAACTGTTTCGGTAACTGGGTAATCGAGTGGATCACGAGTGACATAGACATACTGTACAGTATAAACTGTGATGTCACACTTATGAAAATGGGACATGGACATACAGCAGTTACTATTGAAACATCCATTTGTAGAGTTAAACAGCCTGGCAATGGACTTTTAATAATTAAGTCAAAAGAAAAAGACAAATGAGTCACATGCAATACAGCCACAAATCACTCTTTTGCGATTAATGCTATCAAAAATGTTTCTTATGTTTTCTAGAACAACCTGAGAGATAGTCTAATTACGTTTCAAGATTTGTCAACTAATTCATTCCTAGAAAAAACAGATTTCATTCTGTTTTTGAACAAAGAGGATCTGTTCAAAGAAAAGATGCAGACGGTACAGTTAAAAGACACATTTTCAGAATTTAAAGGTAAGATGTGACATTGACGATTGCATTATCACATTCTGCATGACATTTCCAATTATTACAAGATTACAGTGTTACAGTTGCAATATTATTATCATCTTTTGCATGCATGGCATCTCCAATTATTGCAAGATTACAGTGTTACAGTTGCAATATTATTATCATCTTTTGCATGGCATCTCCAATTATTGCAAGATTACAATGTTATAATCGCAATATTATTATCACATTCTGCATGACATTTCCAATTGTTGCAAGATTACAATGCTACAGTTGCAATATTATTATCATCTTTTGCATGCATGGAATCTCCAATTATTGCAAGATTACAGTGTTACAGTTGCAATATTATTATCATCTTTTGCATGCATGGAATCTCCAATTATTGCAAGATTACAGTGTTACAGTTGCAATATTATTATCATCTTTTGCATGCATGGAATCTCCAATTATTGCAAGATTACAGTGTTACAGTTGCAATATTATTATCATCTTTTGCATGGCATCTCCAATTATTGCAAGATTACAATGTTATAATCGCAATATTATTATCACATTCTGCATGACATTTCCAATTGTTGCAAGATTACAATGCTACAGTTGCAATATTATTATCATCTTTTGCATGCATGGAATCTCCAATTATTGCAAGATTACAGTGTTACAGTTGCAATATTATTATCATCTTTTGCATGCATGGAATCTCCAATTATTGCAAGATTACAGTGTTACAGTTGCAATATTATTATCATCTTTTGCATGGCATCTCCAATTATTGCAAGATTACAATGTTATAATCGCAATATTATTATCACATTCTGCATGACATTTCCAATTGTTGCAAGATTACAATGCTACAGTTGCAATATTATTATCATCTTTTGCATGCATGGAATCTCCAATTATTGCAAGATTACAGTGTTACAGTTGCAATATTATTATCATATTTTGCATGGCATCTCCAATTATTGCAAGATTACAATGTTATAATCGCAATATTATTATCATATTTTGCATGACATCTCCATTATTGCAAGATTACAATGTTATAATTGCAATGTTATTCTCATCATTTGCATGACATCTCCAATTATTGCAAGATTACAATAATTGCAATTGCTTTCACATATCTACCCATTTTTCTTACATAATTTTGTTAAATTTGATGAACTGGCTCGCTTATTAGATAAATTTTAAGAAAGACAGATTTTCTAATTAACACTTTTGAGTGATTTTGTGTCAGAGTATGCTCCACGGAAAATGAGATATCTCTTAAATTCCAAGTTGTTGATGCTATGCAAGCATGCCTATCTTTTCTCCATTGAACTATCTTAGTATCTGCACATTAAAATCATGAATATTCTTTAATTATTGAGAGAGTTATTCCAAAAATAGTGGGTGGCATTTTTGTGTCACCCTGGGTAAAATTTGGAGTTAACTATCCGACGGATTGCTGTCCATCGGTACAGTGGTATAGGACACGCGCGGATAAGGCAACCTTGCTTTGGTGCAACGCGCATGTATGTTTACTTGGTTTACACGAATCATTGAATTCCTTAAAACATTTACATTTCAGGTGAAAATACACCAGAAGCTGGGTTAAGCTTCATCAAACAGGAATTTATGCGACTCAAGAGATCCTCTAAGCAGGTTTACACACACGTTACGACGGCTACAAATATGGATGTAATGAAAACTATAATCCGGGATGTACTGCAAATTATTGTCGAGATTAACCTTAAAAAGACTACAGTATTTTAGGATTAATATCATTCATATGACAACATACATACTGTACTTGCTATAAATAATGCTTCATGTTAGCCTTCAAGTTGGAGTCGTTAAGGATGTGCTACATTAGTAAAATAAAAACTAGATTGATATTATTATGTATAATATAAGCGTTGGGGGAGCAAGGGAATTAATCATACCGTATTCGAATAATAGAACTATCACGATACGGACTATAATTCCCATAGCAACGAGAAGCATGGTGATAAAATAACGAGGAAGGTCGCCATAACGACAACGCCATAGCAACACGCATTATCCAAAGTAGCAACACACAATATTTATAGCTGGTGTATAAGTACAGTATAGTGCATTGCTTGATGAATTTGATAACTTATGTTGTCATGGCAATGTTGTATATACAACTGCATTTGACGCTAATAAATTAGATATGATAGAGGAGATGCTGCCTGACATTCAATTGATTTGTGCATGGTTAGGGTGTTTCATTTTCGGAACATTTATTCTGATCAAGCTGCTCTTCATTATCATATGATCTTCGACTGTGGTAGGGACCTTACAAAAATTTCAGCCAAATCGGGCATCGTTTACCTCACCCCCTTAAGCCATCTTTGTTATACAGGTTTTGCCGCGACATGTGTTTTAGAAAATATATCTGTCTTTGTTTTCCATGGACAATTCTACAAAGGCCGATCCAGAAGTTCTAATAAAAATGCTGTGTCTTTTTTTCTTAAGAAGAGGAAATCACTTGATATTTTTACACACTTTACATAATGTATATGGCTGTATATGGCAGGGAATTTTCAGAATGATTAATTGATAGAGCTTTCTGTAATCACACTTTTCCTATCCCATGGTAGGGTACTTGGTCCAGGATTTGAGCTCATATTGACATCATAACTCATATTGAAAATCTGAAAAACTGAATCCAATTGTGCACTCCTATTTGAGGTAATATAAAACTCAACAAAGAAACTCAAAATATTGTCCTTCGGCATTAATACACTACATTAATACATCCTGGTATCTATCCATCCACTGTTTGTACACACCTTTTCAGTTCTAGTGAGGTGTCAACAGCATTCTTGATTTCAACAAATGTTCTTAAATATGAGACACTCGGATCCCCCTCTTTAGGGCCGGTCCAAAGTCCAAACAGGGGTCCAAACAAAGTCCAGGGGGCATTATCTGGGAAGTATGGAGATTAGAATGCCCTCATATCCTTCTGTCCTGAAACATACATATTTAACTTGCTGCTGATGATATTGCAGATCATGCCAGATTTGTGACATTGAACTGAAAGCAATTTGTGTGTTTATCACTTGTCTAATGTATCATGCAGCGTTCATGTTTTCTGTATCAAACAGGATTTATAATGATTTCGCACTTATGAGAAGAGGACATTAACAGCAGTTATTGTTAAAACAGACATTTTTAGAATTACGTATCCTTATAGTGAGGTTTCGATCATTTGTTCAAAAGAAATCCAATTTGAAACTTCACAATTTTTACCCTGTCCCGCTATAGCGTTATTGAGGTTACCATAGCAACCATAACTTCAGAAATATTCATTTCCAGCATCTAAATTTTTATATACTATGAGGGTATAAATGACCCGGTTACTCTGAAAATATTGTGGAAAACGGATGATAAAAGTTTAAGTTTTTATTAAGAGCATTTTTATCAAAACTTTTGGATCGACCTAGTAATTCATTTATTACTAGAATATAGGACTCTATATATTTAATATGTAAGTTTCCAATTTAGTACATGTTTCATACTAAAATCTAATGTAATCATGCTTTTGTCAAATAAAGATGGCTGGAGGGGGTGAGACGATGCCCGGTTTGGCTCAAATTATTTTGTGGGGCGCTATCAATGATAGATCATATAATATGAAGAGCAACTTGATCAGAAAAAAATGTTCCCAGAATGAAACACTCTATGCATGGTGTCCGTGTAATCGTCTGTTAAAGGATTCAAGTCCAGGTAGAGCGCAAACTTTTCAAGAAGAAGGCCTTAGTTAAGCTTTAATGTCCTGTTGAAGAACTCCTATTCTTACTTTTGAAAACAGATTCTAGCAATACTCTCCCATATGATTCTACTTGTTGGGACTCGATCAAGTGAAGAGTATGTAGATATGCATCAATTGTATCCCCATGTTAAGGCAATGCACCCTTGCTTAAGGTGCCATGATACTTAACAGGAAAGGACAAAACAGGAAGTGACAAAACATGTGACCTTTTTAAACATTTTTTTAACAAAAATAGCAGAGTTCTGTTTTGACCTCCAGTCAATTCAAATAGTTCAACATATTATTCACAGGTCCAGGATCACAATGTTCATGGTCAGAATGACCCTAAACATGATGAAATAACCTTTTCAGCCCTCTGAAAATGTGATGCACATTGTGATCCTGGTCATGTAAATGGTATGTGGAACTAGTTGAATTGACTGGAGGTCAAAACAGAACTCTGTTATCTTTGTTCAAAAAAAGTCTAAAATTTGAAATTTTTGTCACTTCCTGTTTCGTCATTTCCTGTTAAGTATCATGCCACCTTAAATCTAATTTTCTCAGAACTCAATTGATCGAGTCTCAACAAGTAAATTCATGTGGGAGAGTATTACTACCATTTTGATGCTATTTATAGTTTTCACTCAACTACAAAGTCGAATATGAAATTGATGAAAGTCATCAATTGGCTCCAATGTGATCATGCCTAACTTCATGTGAACATGACATCAAGGCGCAAATGTCTTGTTTATGGTTTTCACCGATGGCCGGATATCTATGTTGGTCCTCGGTCCAAATATAGTCTATCGACTATATTTATGGATGAGAAAACACCTCAGTTCAGACCTAGTCTAAAGTCTAAACATAAAATCCAATAAAATGTGATAAATCATCATCACGCTAAGCTAATTTACAAATCTGTATACGACTGATTTCAGCCATTGTTGGAAATGGAATATAAAACTAATTTTCTGTGCAGCGATACGTAATGACCCTCGGTGTGATATGTAGTTGCCTGGCAACGAGTCGACATACAGCTAGGTATTCCTGATTGGAAAAGAACGATCTCTGAATAATGCAGAAGTCATCTTAATTTCTTCCTCCTTCTATAGAACCTCGGGTATAGAACCATGCAGTTCTAAGATGCCAGGGGATTATCGGTGATTTTTATGGTCCTGTACTGAGCGCATACATTTGACTGTACGATTACAACTTGGGAGAATTATCTACGCCCCTTCCACTTAAGAAACCTACCTCAATGCATTCTAGGACTCAAAATGTAACTTCTAATATATTGGAACCGCCGATTGTCTGTTTTAGTTGGCAGAACGAAGTCTTTTTGTTTCTTATGGCTCTTTTGGTCGAAGTTCGATAAAGATGGCGGTTATAACGGAATTTCCCGAAGTTTTCCGTAATAGCACGAACTTGGTATTTCGTTACGTCACTTCCGTGTCAAATGGATTTGTTTCCGGTAAGAGGGAATTTCGAAAATTTCGGACAATATTTTCAATATTTACTGCCATGTCGACATCCTATGCTCTTAACTGTATACCGAATGGTTAAACAATGTTTCTTACCGGAAACAAATCCATTTAAACACGGAAGTGACGTAACGAAATACCAATACCCCGCAGAGTCTATGACTACAAACGTGTATCTAGATAAGGTGTATGGATCCAACGGGGCGTTTTGGAAGAGAACGGAGCGTTTTGATCAATTTCGAACAGATGCGTATGACTTTTGGAAATTGGTGCATTTAATGTAATAAATATGTTGATGCAGAGATGGAGGGTTGTAATGGGAGTCCTTGTGCAAAAAATAGGGGAGAATAATAAAAGAACTGGCGATATATCGAGGCTTTTGGTTGAAATCTCTGAAGATTTGCTAGTTCAACAAGTTAAACCTAGTCTTGGCCTTATTTCTTATCTGACATTTCTTGTGGCCCGCCCTAGGTTTAACATCCGTGCCTATTCGGCCCTTGATGCAAAATTTTTTAATGATTGCCTATGGCAGCGCATAGAATTATATGCGCGTTTTACTAATATTTGATAGTGAGAATTTGCAACCTATGAAAGCATAGCACGGAAGTTAAACCCAACCACGGCAACAAGAACACTCAGACTATAAATGAAAGCCGTGGAATTGGGTTTAACTTGTTGAACTAAAGATTTGCATCTTCTCACATCTGGGGACCAAAACGCCGCTAAAACTAGGGACTTTGTATACAGAGGCAATGTCTTGACTAAGTTTGAAGAAAAACGGGGAAGTGTGAGACTCACAATCATTGATTTTCCAGAGACAGGATAGATTTGAAATTCAAATTAACGGTTTTGCGGGACGGTTTTGGTTTCGATACGCCCTGGTGAGTTAGTACCGCGTGAATCTATACCCATACGTTTTGCATCTAAAATATTAATGTATTTCCATATATTGTCTCCGAAATGTTTATAGGCCAACATTTTACAAAAATATTTATCTAGACTTCTGGTTTATTTGTGATATTGATAATATCGCGATCGACCCTTTTATTATGTGCATGTATTGGAGACAATGTATATTAGTATTTATGGTTATAATTCAACTGAAGATCGATCTCATCTTAAAATATATACGTGAACTCGGATTCACATATTGGATGAAATATTACTTTTAACAAGTGATAATTATGTTTTTAAGTCACCCATAGGTCGACAGCGGCCGAGCCGAAGATTTTAACTGATACTGCATTATTATTGTATTATTTTATATAGGGCGTGAGACGTTAATAAATATTTATATAGATAAAGAGAAGTATAACACAGGATATCCAAACTAGTGGAGAGGAGTGTACATTATACAAAAATGTACATGTAGGTACGAAACAAACGCATTTATCATCGTACAATTTGTAAGTTCTGATCTTGTTTGTATCACACTATGGTCGCCAGCAAATATAGTTTTACATGTACATTTGCCTTGTGTTAAATTATTGTTAGATACAGTCAATTCACAGCGAAAAATGGTGTAATATCCTATAGTTTCCGTACGTATCGCAAATCCCGGATATTTGAGGTATCCTTGAATAACCTAAAATATACCGATACTTCGAACATCCGGAAATATCCTCAAAGGGATATTTTTGGATACTCCAAGTTTCCAACTTTCAACATATCCGAATTAAGGATATTTCAGGATAGTTGACTACCCTAGTATCTAGAAATTTTTTTAAGTATCCGGAATATTGATTCCTGGAAATTATGCTAGTACATAAATTATAACGTTCAATTAACAATTTTAGTGTCATTGAAACATTTGTTTCGCCATATAGAATGTGGAATATCTTGTATGAATTTCTGCAGTGAAACAACATTCTCCTCGTGATATCTTAACTGCTCAAAATGGCTGCCATCGAAAAACTTGTGTTTGGGAAATTCAGACATATGTAAGACAGGAAATTCATGATGACCGAAGATTACATCGTCAATAAGCTGATCTTCGAAGAAAAGTTTGCTTCTAAGCATGGAAGATAATATTAAATAAAGTTCCTGGGATATTGTCTAAAATA